ATCTATCTATCTATCTATCTATCTATCTATCTATCTATCTATCTATCACAACCATAACCTTTAAAATTAAAACAAAATTCTTTCTTGCATTTTCTCAGGTTTCTTTAAGGTGGTCTGCTACAATTTCTGTTATAGATATTTTTCAAGTGGCATAGTAGTCATAACATTTGTGTGACATGCAGAATGTTTCTGGCTGACACCTTAGCAGAAACCTTAGCAGAAACTTTCAAACACACATATATCATTTTTTCCCCTTGAACTATTCTACTTTTTCAGTTTTTTAAGAAATCACCAGTACACAATTTTATCATTTTTCTAGTCACAGATAAATCATTTCATCCTTAGCTTCCAAATAGCTCAGCTGGGTTGAGACCATTCTCACTCAAGTGCCTGGAAAATTAAAGAATGTCAATGAGGCTTTTAAAGCAGTTTAAGAGGAAGGAGGGACATAAATTAAAGGTAGAAAAATAATACTAATCCAAATAGTTATTGCAAGGTTTTGAACTCTGGTGTTCTTCATGTTAAGAAAGTGTTATAATTATTATGACCCTGAGAAAATAAAACAATCTGCAACAGACTTTGAGAAAAAATGGGATCAGATGGCAGAATCCTGTCCCTGTGTAAATTCAAGGATTTTTTGTTAGAGTAAATTAAAACACAGTGTACAAAACAGATGGCAAAACTTGAACTAGCAGAAGTCAGAAAATATCTTTCAGTTGGAGCATGGCAAAGTGAGCAGAAATTGCATATATGATGAACTGTAAATGAGTAGAAGGCAATGCCCATTTCTGTGTCTCATATTCATGATGGGACTATCAAGAGTCAAGCTCATTTTAAAGGAGACTTCATCATTATAATAAAAAGAGTTGTCCAAAAATGACATGTTTTTGTGGTTTTGTACAAGTCACCATCTTTCCATGAATGCAACCACCATTGTTAAAATCCTGTTTTGCGTTCATGAGTTATAATTCTTGAATATAAATTTGAAAGAAGGGAACTAATAGAAATTCTAGAAGCAACCATATGAAATATAGTTTCCATTTGTAATGGGCAGACAATATTTGAGCAGACAGTAAGTCTTTTAAATCCTACCAATTATCAGAACTGGGAACTACAATACATTTATATAAATTGCTTAAATTTATTTTGATGACATTTTTATTGTTCAGTCAGACTTTAGAATAAAGAAAACTCTCAATATCCAAAGCTGTTAGTTCAGCTCTGGCCTACAATCTAGTATTCTCACCAGGCTATAGTGATCCAAATATGCTTATATCCAGGGGTGAGATTACAACTTTTTAACAACTGGTTCTGTGGGCATGGCTTAGGTGGTGGGCATGGCTTGGTGGTCATGTGACTTGGCGGACATGGCTTGGTGGTCATGTTATTGACTGGGTATGTCCAACTCAATATCACTCACATCGAGGCACGCATCTCCTCGCCTGGCCTTTCATGACTGTGGGGATGCTGCAACAGTGGTAAGTGTGAGAAATGGTCATAAGTCACTTTTTTCAGTGCCATTGTAACTTTGAATGGTCACTCCACACAAGCAAAGTACCAGCAAAGGAGGGGAAAAAAACTCCAGAGAAGTTCCTGAGACAGGAAGTCTAGTTCTGCCAAGAACGTAATAAGGGTTAACGGAGAGGCAGTTTCTATAAGGAACACCAGAATGTTTCCTTCCTGCCTCCCTTACAGGATTAGGCCAGTAATTTCTTCTAACAACGGGTTCTCCAAACTGCTTAGAATATTAACAACTGGTTCTAGTGAATAGGTGCGAATCTGGAAAACCTCAGGTTGGGATAAGTTGTGATATATGCCAGCATGATTCACAGAGAGCAAATTTGGGTAAAAGTTATTCTATATCATAATGCATTGCTGAAAGAGAGAGCCAGTTTGATATAATGGTTAAGGCAACGGGGCTGAAAACTGGGAGATACAGAGTTTTATTCTCACCTTATTTCTAAAGGCATCTAATTTGGGCCAATTTGTCTTAGTCCTAGGAAGCACAAGGCTGATTGGTATGCATGATTACTTGCTTCTCAAGGAGAGGAAGGAAAAGTTCAGAAAAACTTGGAATAAAAGAAAACTTTTATATTGAAAGAGAAATCACACAGCAATTTTCAGAAACACATCCTAAAGGAGGACTGGCAGTATATCCTTCTTTAAAGTTTGGAAGTACAGGCCAACCCAAGTTGTCAGGATATGTTTGCTAGAAAATTTATTATAATTGATTAATTCATTAGCCAAAATAAAAGCAGGAGAAAAGTTATTAAAATAGCTACTTGTTTCAGAGAATTAGCCTATCATTGTAATAAATGTCTTTTTGTTTGAATTATGACAGTTTAATAGTTTCCCCATTATTAATTGTAAACAATGTTTTTAGATATGATGAATTTCAAAATTCCCGAGTTTATAAAATATAAATTATAATAGATTATAAAATATTTCTTTAGCTTTTCATTACAATTTTTGATTTACACCACTAAA